CCGAAATTGAATCTAGTTGGAAAGTAACAGGAGTGAGGAAGTAAGGTCTTTAGAGCGCAAACGTGTTTTTCTCGAAACAATATTTTTTAACTGGCGTCCACGATTCATCAAAATCGGTTTCATCAATTGCTTTAAAACTTAAATGGTACATTCATCACACATGTGGCTATCGCCCGAACTAGGATTTTCGGAAAGTATTGAACGGTTTTTTTTCATAAAAAAGTAGTGCCAAAAATTCATGAAGTTTTGGGTTTTAATGTTTAAAAGCACTTGAAAAATTGAATTTTCTAGACTTGTAAAAGATCCTAGCTTGGCCGATATACATCACCCTACAGATTGGCATGCAACTTTTTCTTTGGATTTTAGGTTAGCCAATTTGCAGGAATCACGGGCGCCGTTTGTCTACCTTTTTTCTACATGGTGCCATTGGAGCGATAAATCTTGCAATTAACAAAATATTTTTACTTAAAAATTCAAAATTTCAGCTGAGGGCTTAATAAATATGCTGTACAATTTGGAGGCTCTGTGTTTTTTAATTTCATTATAAAATATTCCGAAAAAAAACTTATATAAGTCGCCTAGCTCCCTACTTTCTAAACAAACAACCGACATTTTTACATCTCACTACGTTTGAGAACTGTCAGATTTCAGTCAGAACGTACAAAATAAGGAAAATATTTTTTAAAATAAAATACATTTTTCTACTTTCCTGCTAAGTAGTTTGAAACTTCATTTCAGATTTTGATCTTGTTTAGGTGTATTTGTTATATAAGAAGGTATATTGTCATAATTAAATAATAATCTTAATAATTTTTTTTATTAATTAAGCGCTTCCCTAATGTATGCAAATTGTACGCACTGTAGATACATACCATCGATATACTCGTATATACTTGTATAGGCATCTGTGCTCGAATGCTTCGAGATAAGGGAAAAACTCGCAGTGTGTACTCGAGTACATTAGCGAAAGTGACTCACGTGCCTCTTGCTAACAATTGTCAGTAGTGGTGGAAAGTAACAATAACAAAATCCCTCATTCTCTTTCTCGTTTCTTTAAATTTCAATCACAAAATGTATACCTATTTGCTGTGTCAATTATTATTACACAAATTCGCCACAAACTTGTGCGTGTATAAATATTGAGCTTTAAAGAACCTAACAAATAACTTATATACATACGTACATACAGACATATTATTCACAAGATATTTTGAGAGTGACTATCGTACTTATACCCTCCGAATGTAATGAGCATGGCCCACCGTGTCATTACAACCACACACCTACAAACTCGTCAGTCCCTAATGCAAATATTAGACAAAACATACGTTAGCTATATGTATATGAAAATCACCCCTAAGCCGGTTTTTCCTTTTCGAATGATTTGCTAAAATATATGAGGGGTTTATAAAGGGTTTTCCAGAATGATATGATTTCTTTTAAAAAAAAGTAATCGTTAAGGAAATTCATTAAATTTTTTTTTAATGTGAAGTACAATACAATCGATACAATTAAGTTTTGAATATAACATTATTCAAATGGCCTCCACGACTTCTTTTGCGGGAACGAATTCGATAGACCCAATTTTCAAGTACTTTCCCCAAATCAAGTCGTGTGTCATGAACAGCAGGTTCAATATTGACTTTGTAAGCTTGAAGAGGGTCTGGTTTATTGCTAAAGACCAATGACTTCAAATAACACCACCAGAAGTAGTCTAATGGTGTTAAATCACAACTAAAAGCCATTTAATGTCACAATTTTTTGAAATTATCGAATCTCCAAAATTTTCTTGCAACAATTCTGTTGTTCCACTTGCTACATATGTGGCACGTAGCCCCGTCTTGTTGGAACCAGTTGTTGTCAAGATCAACTTCTTCCAATTGCGGCCACAAAAAGTTGGTTATCAACGATTTATACCGCTCTCCATTGACAGTAACTTGTCACCAGCTTCATTTCGAAAGAAGTACGTACCGATGATTCCACCAGACCAAAAACCACACCAAACTATCAATTTAGGTGAATGTAATGGTTGTTCATGAATAATTTGTGGATTTTCTTCGCACCATAATCGACAGTTTTGTTTATTTACCGCACCACTCATCATAACCATAACGACTATAAAATGACGAAAGCGCACGAAAAGTTGCAATTGGAGAACGATTATTTTGATAATAAAATGTGAATAACTTGTGGACGTTGTTCTTGCGTATATCTTTGCATGATGAAATTGTAAACATTACTGAATACAATGAAAAAAAATAACAGATAATGACATATTAAAGATGGTCGAAATGACACCTAGAAATCAAATAAACCCTATTGGAAAACCCGATTTAACTGCATAGTCCAAGCATTTTAACTATTTAGGTAAGTCCATTCAACGGGGTTCAACTGTAGCTGTTTATTATTTTAAATAATTGCTGTTTTTAGAACTTTGGTTTAATTTTATGCACACATGTTTTGCGTGTTGGCAGCTAAAGCTGTGCACGAAGCTTTGGATGTTTGAAAAACGCAATGTGACATGGCTGAATGAGCACACAACCTATGGAGGAAGACTGCTTTCAAAGGCCAAAGGGAGTCAAAAATATGTGTGTATCGATAAAATTGGAAACCACTTCAAGGAGTGAAGCCCCTAAGCAATGGAAATATTTAAGTGCGTATTTTATGAATTTCTGGCATAAGAACACATGCTTTATTTATGTAATTAAATACAACGAACGTGTCTAGCTAATTGACTTGCTCAACACACATATTTTCAGTTGTATTTTACCTATGTAAGGTGTGCAGGTGAGTATGTTCCTTTCCGCTGCCAGTGATTTTCCTTGGCATATCACTTTTTATATTCTACATCTGAATGTTTAAAACGCGTTTTGGTTGACCATGGGTGTTCCATTGATTTCATTAGCTCATTTCACTTTTACAAAGCTCCTAACTACGAGCTGCTTATAAGTGTATGTTTGTGTATCGTTTTATATGAAATAGCCACACCCCGCGCGCATTTGGTTCCAACGTCAGTTTCATTAATTCAGGCAGACTTTGTTGCAGAATGTGTAACCGTAAAGCAGAAACCGAAATATGTGTACAATATAAACGAAATTCACGAGAAGAAATAATAAATAACAGATATCGGAAACAGTAATGAAAATAAAAACAATGCACCGCAAAATAAAAGCGAAATATAAAAGTAAACAAAAATAATCATGCTGGAAACAGTCACCGACGAAAAACCGTAGACTGAATCAGCTGATACGACCTATCTTATGAGAGCGCAATGTAAATGAACACTCACCACCGCTTCTACCGTCCACTTCTACAGACCGTACGGTAGGATATACGCGAAAATTGTTTTTTTCCCGTAGAAACTAGTGAGCCGAGAGTGGGAGAGCAATTTCTTGCAACGTAGGGTTGCCAGTCTTGATATTTTGTAGTAATTAAAAAATAAACTTCAATATATATGAAATATTCTTAAACTAACTCAAAATTACAGTCGAATACATTTATTTACAAATAGGTAGACTATTTTTAATAGTTGGATTTTAGTTTTTTTTATTTTACAAAAATAAATATGTGAAAAATCGTGTCGTGTAACAATGGCAACATTGGTGAAATGAAAACAAAAGAGAACAACTGATTTCTACATTGCCACTACGAGCGTAACTTTTGACAGATTTGGTTTGAAAGCGGTAAGTACGGAAAGGCGGAATGTCGGTGACTGTTTCCAGCATCAGGTAGGGCGAAAACGAAGTGGTAGCCAAACCAAACGCCCGAGAAGAGCCAGTCGAGTCGCAGAACGACCGGTCATTGCAAACTTACGCCATGGAAATGGCAATATTTCGCTAATAAACCAGATTAATCGTTGCCCTGCTTTCAAATATTATGAATACTGTTGAGCTTATGCAACTTTTATTAAGGCTTTGGATAAAACGAAATCAGTATTTCCTAGTAAGTGGAGACATTCTCCAGAAGTTGCCGCTGATGGCTAATTTTGCCTCCTAGCGACCGGCATTGGCATTCGGCTTAATTGAGTGGTAGTCAAGCACTCATTTCGCTCAGCTACGAAGTAGGCACTGTCAAAAGCGGCACTGATACTATAAATAACAGCAGGCAAACAAGCTGTACTCAGACATTCTAGCTTATGTCGGCAAATATTTATACAGCTCATACTTAATATTTGGGTACATTTTTGACAACACATGTGTAAGTATGTATTCCACAAGAATATTTAGGTATCTATGTTCTATAAAGTGCGCGATATTGGTAACTCTTGTGTCTTGATTTTCTATGTAAATATGTATGTAGACGTGTATTAACGTGCACTGCTATTCTTCTCTTCGCCTCATTTTACAACTTACAACTACTTTTACATACAGATTCACTAGGTCATTCACTTTGCGTCGCACGTTTCGGTCGTTTTGTTCATATTGCTCCACACATGTTGCATGTCGAGGGGCTTGCCATTTCTCCAAGACAAAACAAAAAAAATAATAAAACTAAACAAAAGGCAAAAATCTTCACAAAAGGTGTAAACACCTAGTACTACGACACTTAGTCACTGCTTGAGCCAATATCTTGCCCAGTTAGTCATTTAATCACTTCACTCACAACTCATTTGCGTCGCAAAACCGCGCTTTTGCCATATCCGATTTCATTAACATACCGCCCAGGAAAAAACAAAAAGAACCATTGACGCTTATCGCCTCACTTTAAACACACTGGAACCCATTCACATTTACACACGCATATACATACATATATGTTTTGGGCTCTTGGTATTCGTGCAGCGCTTAGAAATTTCGCAAGCATTCACTTTTTATAAACACTGTCAAAACTAATAGTTGAACCTTCATGTCACAATACCGGAATGTCTTCGCGATTCCGCACTGTTCTTATAAACAAAATAGGTCCACAAACATACCTACATATGTAGGTATACGTAATTGTAGTATTTAATCGAGGAAATCGCGTTGATTGGGAAATTAATCGGCGAGCCCTGTACTCACGTTATAACGAATTGTACGCACTTCACGAGTATACGTATCGCACTGAAAGATATGTGTAGATGTGTGCCTTCGTAGATATGTAGCGTCGCGAAAATTGAACTTGTTACCGCTTACACGTTTCTCACATCAATGATTTACTGTTGATTTTCGCAGCACGTTTTAACGTATAACAAATACACAAATACGGCAACACGGGCGATACAAAATATAGTGCACACAAAAACCGACACTCACTTCGAGAAGCGGGCAGCAGATTGAATGGCGTACTCAATTATTTGCTCACTTAGTCTGCTCATGGTGAGGCGGCAGTTTGTTTGCGGGATAAATGTTTGTATCGCTTGGTTAGACGGTTTCCCAAAGTGACACACTCCATAATACGCACACATTTACACACTTCCACAGTACTGTAAGGCCTCAGAGCTCTCATGTACAGAGAGTGACTGACTCGCTGACCGGTTGCACAAACTGATCTCTTCAGCGTAAGAAGGGACTGTCGCGACTACAACTAGACGCTTGTTTGTACCTGCATACTCCACTGTGTGCTGTGTGGCATGAATGCACATCGCTTGATGTCTCTCAACGACAATTTCCATTTACTTGACATTAGCAAATATGCTTAGCACATGCCTCGGCACAGTGTGCTTAGCAGATAAAAAGGTTAAAGATATTTGTAATGTTAGGCTGTGATATACAAATATTTTGGAACACATACGTATGTATGTATACATAAGATAGACAACTGATGTCATGACTCCTGTCGTGTATCTACTGGTTTATTCTCTGCTTTTGTAATTATTTGCTTATTTTTATACATATGTGGAAGTTGAATTTTAATGAAATAAGTAATAATCACTTCTGAAAATTAGTAACTTTTCCTATTTGGCCTCACATCTTGCCACAATTCGCACATATTTTCTGCATTCTGGAATATAAAACACTGTACTAAACTCGTTTAGCTTTTACTCTCTCGCTCTCGCTTAGAAATTCTATTGATTACTTAGTAAGACTTACCGGCTTACTGATGTTCTGACTACTTGCTTCACAACTCAAACGAATATTATTGACAACCACCACCAGCTGACTTGTTGACCGACGGACTTGACCTAGCGCATACCCAACAAAATATGTTTGCTTGAGCATGTTTGGTGTTCGTATATTTCTTCCCTTCGTTCATATTGTAAACGTACGTATATAAGTATATGTATGGATTCGCATCCGCATGGCTCTATGGGTGTGCATAAATACACTGACATTCCTTACTTGAGAGAAACCACAGCAATTCTGAAATGAGCAATCGTTTCAGAGCATAAACTGCATAAATTCACATTGATGTTATTCCCACTACTCAAATTGCGAGAGCATGCTGTCTGCGGCGCAGACAGGTTTTCAAATGATTACTTTTTTGTTTGTAGTATGGCATAGATATGTACGAGGTATATCTGTACAGGTATACGTTAATGGACTCGTCTATGAACGTAGCGGTTGCCAAACATAAATTGTACAGTATCTCCCGCTTATAATCACCCTCGAAATGGAAATCGGTATTAAATATCCGACAAACAGTGGGAAAATTGTGTATGACCAAGAATATTGTGATTTGACACTGTCATTTAAAAGAAGTATACATACTTATTATGCTCTAATGAAATAATTATTTTCGTTCCTTGCCTATAAATTTGTATTTGTTAAACTTTGCCGAGGAAAATCAATTAGTGCATTTTCCTTTGATAATAATATAATTGGATACGGGTCAAAAGAGCTTACATCTAGATTAGACTGTACTCACCTTCACTTATATGTGTAACAACTCTCTAGGTGTCGGCTAAAGACAAAGTCTTTGTTATTCCGTCTATTACCAATTATTTGTGAGCAAAAAAAAACGGCAATTAAGATTGTTATGTACTCTCCCATTACTCTTCGGCTGGTTTTTCGTAATACAACGTTAACATACTTCTGTTTTTTGATATGTTCTTATTTCCAGCCATGTCTCTAAATAAAAGCAAGTATATTTAGGTACAAATAACGGAAAATTTTCAAAAAGCGACGGAAGGAAACTCTTGTTCGAAATTTGCGCTGAAAAACAGCGAAATCCACTTCCCACTTCATAGCAAAAATTTCGATTGGAAATGTGCTACAGTCTGCCGAGGTCTAGTAACAAGTAAACAACGAATATTTTATGACTTACTAATCAATTGTTATAGTCAAATTGTTAAAGTCAAGAAAATGACAGGAAATTAATAAAAGAGATCGAAAATTTTTCTTTTACAATATATAATTATGTTTTTGGCGTCAGTTTCTCCTATTTACTGAAAAAATTACTTCAAGAAGAAAAGTAAATAGAATCCAGACAACACCTTTTTCGAGAACTCCATGTCAAATACTCTTTCTGCTTTGTAAAAATTCTTATAATTCCAATTGATATCCATCAATATTACGTGTGGCATGGCTATGCATGCGTATGTCCCCACGTGTGAGCAAGTTTATGTGTTCGATATTAGAGTACTTAATAGCGTTAGACGTGAGTGCTTGACATTTATGGCATGGGCAGCACCCACAGAGTCATAAATAAATTTCATCGAGCACTTTCCTTGCTACACTAATGAAAATTTATGGCAATCGATTTTTAATATTTCTAATTCAGAAACGATTAAATACTCAAGACGGTTGATGCCCACAGGCACAGAAAGAACTGAATAATAAAACACTCAAGCAAATTGGCCAAAAAGTTGACGGACTGGTTATTATGAGAAAACGCCAGCACTTCAATTGTTTTTGTGCTGCCTTCTTTTCAGTCGGTGTTTGGCTTTACGTTGCTGATAAGAGCAGGTGTTGACACTGATATGAAAGGCTACGTACATATGTAACCTACGAATATTGAAGATTTTTTAGACTACAAAGGTTTGTGAGTGGGAGTATCTTTTGTTGACGTAAATGCAGATGTGTGTGTATGTATGTATGTATGTTTGTGTTCGTGAATATTGTATTGTTTATAAAGCTTAGTTAATATACAAATAAAGTGTGTTTATATGAATATTAAAAGCTATGAACTCGCTCGCTTCATCAATCAAATCGTGGCATTAAGAATAACTACATATTTACACTTTTCTAAAGCCACACGACGAAAAATATTAATAAACACTGCACAAGCGAAAATCTACTTGATGGAAGATGTTTTCGGAGGGATTTACTCAAATATCCATAGCGTCGGCAGTTTCCGCCGAAGAGTCAAATTATACTCGTATCAATAATATTTGATATTTGCACACAAAAGTGAAAAAAAAAATATTTTTTGATCTCAAAAAAAATAAAAATAAATAAAAGCTAGGAGGGCTTGTTAAATCTCCCCGATATTTATGCTTTTCAAAAAAATAAAATAAATAAGAGGAATTTATAAAGTAACTGTAGAAGTTTGTCCAAATCCAATATCGCATTTGCTTCGCTATGTTTATTGAATTAAGCTTAGTTTTCATATATAGAATTCAATAATAGAAATCCATACTGGCTCGTATTTTGAAGGTCGTTTATTTTTCTGTTCGATAAACTCGTGAACGGCTTAACGCGAGGTAATTTCATTGTCTTTATCAGAAACTGAACAAAATGTTCTTTAAGAATTGCAGCGCTTTGAAAAACATATGGCCAAGTAGTAGCCTCCAAAACCTGAGGATAGAAAGTGGGTCCAAACACAAAAACATATCTCCAAAGGGTATTTGGGTAGTCTTTACTTAAGACATACTGTGCAGGATAAATTTAGCTTTTTGTTCTAAAAATATGGAAACTGGAAGCATATTGATCCAAAGGCTGCGATTACTGAGTCTGCTAGTAAACATAAAAATTCCATTGCCTTTTATCTTTCTAAATGGTGCCAAACGGGCCAGCGAAGACTTGATTAGGCAGCTAACAAAGAGGAAGTCATTGGTCAATAAGCGCGAAATATTCGTACTTTCAAAATTTTCCACTTTGGCAATATGTTGGCTTTTATTATTTGGCATAATACATATTCAGTTCCGCATATATGTATATAAAAGCGTATATAATTAATTTGTATTTTCCAGCGAAATTTTTACAAATTCATATATCTCTGCTAATTACGAAGAATACAATTCACGCCACGAAATTCGATCTCTCTAAGATTAACGAGCACTATTAGTGCAATACGTCTTAATGCTTAACCAGTTCAATCTCAGATTAATAATTATATGAAGTATTTCTCTGCCGTATTTAAACGACAGTCCGATTGTCGCCCTGTCGCCGGTTCCTTCTGCACTTGCGATTGATTGTGCTAAACCACAAATTTGTTTATCAATCAGATTTTCGCGGTTCCATGCTAATCACTCCACAATAATGAGATAATTGCGATAAACGACTCAGTTATGCCCGAAGGAATTTCAAGTTTGCAGCGAGCGTTATCGAATTGTGTTATAAAAATAACTAATTGAAAAATGAGATAACCAAATACGGGAAAGTTTTCAACTTAGCTACAATTTAATTTTTACACACAACTTTATACATTGCTTTTCCAATTCATCGAGGTGAGAAGTTTTGTTCCGTTTTCTGGCGACTCCACTGTTTTTTCAAGGTACCTTTTCAGCCTTGTGATCGTCTCTCTTATAAAGATAACAAAAATTTGACAATTTTAGGCAAGAAATTGAGCAGTTCGACAGGTGTCATACAAAATTTCAATATAATTTTCTTCCTCGGTGATTACGTTTATTAACATTTCTGTCGAAAATTGCCCCATGAAAGGGTTTCTGTTATAATCCTTTATAGGAAAGACAATATTAGAAAGGGCTACGTTCGGGCGCAGTCGGAGATTAGACACTCTGAGAGAAAATGTTTAGATACCAGTGTAAATGTGTACCCATAGTCAAATTGACGCTTAGTATGAAGGACTCTTAGAAATTTCAAACAATGACTTTAATATAATAACTTATGTTCAAGGAGTTCCAAAGTAGGTTTGGTGTACTTGCATAAAACTGTTTTGTGGGCATGGTAATGATGATGTTTAATCAATTTACCACAAGAAAGCCGCGACTACAAGTGCCAATCTTCAATTGCACCAATGTATCTGGACTTTCATACAAATACTATTTTTGATCAAAAAGGAAAAGAAGTGAATAGGAGTTATTATTTAAGAAAGAAAGCACATACATATGTACAAACAATAATACAATTTATAACTGTGAATTACCACAGGGAGTGAATTTCAAATATTTATCATTATATACAACCTGTGGTTGCCGTCGATAAAACAGTGCAATTGGTTGGTGTGCTTTTTAAAGCTCATAGGAGCTTTTGCAGACGGGCTTTTGCCAGAGAATGTTAATAAATTTATTATTTAATAATTGATTTATAACGGTTCTGAATTAGTTGCGTGTTTACGCACATGTAAAATGCTACGTGTAAAATTAAGTTCCTCAAGTCGAATGTGTTAAGAACTGAGGCCAGTTAATAAAATGAATAGCACTTAATGTTTTAGAGAGC